CATCTCGGCCTCCCAAAGTGCTGGGATTACAAGCATGAGCCACTGCACCCAGCCCCTAAAATGCATATTTTCAATTCTTTATCTGGAATTTGGGAAATTTCTTTTTGATTAAGATCTATTGCTGGTGAATTATTTTGTCTCTTAGAAGTGTATTTCCTTGCTTGTTCATGTTTACTCTGTCCTTACATTGCTATCTGCACATCTGGTATAACAGTCTCTTCTTCCTAATTTTAAATTTACTTTCATAAGGGAGGACATTTTCCTGAAGATGTTTCTATGATTTCAGTTAGATAGGGTACTTCGGTTTTGATTCTGCATGCATGTAGTCATGTAGGCTCTATATGATTTCTTTGTCTGTCACCATAATGAGTGGTACCTGTGGTTTCCTCAGTGGGTTACAGTATGGTTAACAAGAGAGGCTGTGATGAAGTTGTGCTGGGGACTGAGACGCAAGGTAGGTCAGTCTTCAGGCCCCAGTGGTGGCAGCAGTTAGCTGAGCATGTCTATCTTTGTGCTTCAGAGTAGTATGAGCTGGTGCCTGTTTTGACAGTTCCTGGTGGGCCAATTCTTGGGCCTTCAGGTGGCTTGCTTGGATACCAGTAGTGGCAGCAGTGAACCAGGCAGGTGGGTGGGTTCTCAGGCCCCTAGGCAGCTGGTGTGGCATGGGTGATGGCAGTAGCAGTGGCAGGATGATTTTTTGGGTCCTGAGTGGTGTGCATTGATGTTGGCAGTGGTTGTGATGGGTTGGGCAGGCCAGTCTCTAGGACTCAGGTGGTGCTTGCGTATAGGAACCAGTTGAGATGGTAGTGGCCAGGAGTTTAGGCCCAATCTGAGTTCCCTGGGAGGAGTGTACTCAAGGTGGTGGATGGGTTGGGCAAGCCCAAGGACCTGAGGCTATGTGTTCTGTTATGGAAGAGGAGCCAAAGCCAGGCTGGGTGGCCTTGCACTCAGTCCCCCGAAATATGACAGCAGGCACCAGCCATCATGAGCAGTAGCGGGCCCCAGGTGGGGTGCTCAGCTGAGAGGTGGTAGCAGCTGTGCTGAAGCCCTGTCACTGGAGGGAGGGGTTGTCTTTGGTGGCCACAGCCTGGGCTGGTGGATGGGGAACACACATCCCTCTCATGCTCCAGTCCTGCCAGGGTTTACCCTCTAACCTCGGCAGTAGTCCATGCCTAGCTTGCCCCCCTTGGCTCTGGCTACAGGAGCACCCCTGAAAGCTGACAACTTAGTCCCAGTGTCAGTCTGTGCCTCGCTTACATCCCAGTCTCCTGGCAGTGCTCACTTCCCAGCACCAGCAGCTGCAGCTGCAGCCTGTGCCTCACTTGCTTCTTAGCCTCAACTGTGGAAATGCTCTCAGCTCACTCCTCAGTCCCAATAGCAATAGCCCAAGTTTCCTTAATGCCTCAGTCCAGACGCTGCTGGGCCCCAGGATAGTGTGCAGTCTGCCAAAAGCTAGGTTTGAAAATGGCACCTTGCTATAGCAGTTTGGGTCTCAGGAAGAAACCCAGCACGACCTTCCTCCCTAGAGGAGTTCCATCCCACGGTCTCTAGGAGACTGTCTATGTTAGTTTCAGGGATGGAAGGGTCGAGAAGTTCTCTGTGGCCAGAATTACACACTTCCACAGTGGGCATGTGGGCTGCCAGAAGTCTCTCACTTACCCTTTCCACATGTTGGGAAGTCACTCCTGGCTCCCAGCCGATCCCGGCCAGGCAGACTGCCTTTTTCCCTTCTCCTTCCCCACTTACAGTGTTTCCTGTCACTTCTCTGTTGAATTCCAGCGTTCTGTCTTGGATAACGTATTTGAAGTGTGACTGCCTGTACACTATTTTGGTTCTTCTAAGTAGGGGAGGCGGGCACGCAATGCTTCTAGTCAGCCATCTTGACACCCCTCCCCTGCCTTATTATTTTACAGTAGCTTTTGGTTGCTTTCTTCTCTGCTTCCTGTCACATCCCCCAACCCCAGATAACAATATTAACAACTAAGCATTCATATGATCACATACAAACACCTATACCTGTGAGAAGACTTACACTGCTTTACAAAAATCAGATTATATCATACATACTGCTTTGCACCTTGCTTTCCTCTCTTAACAATATATTCTAGAAATGTGTTCAAAGTCAACCTATATCTTTCTCATTCATCCTATCTTCTATTTTTAAAATATTTTCTGAAGAAATATTTTTAGAGGTGAATATAAATAATACAAAGGGCCTTTGGCCTCCGAACCTTTTCCTTCACCCTTCCAATAGGCTGACTGAGTCAACACTTCGCTCTGGGAAGCTGTGGAAAATCAGGCTGGTGGTTGGGAGGCTGTTCTAACATCAAGAATGATGTCTCTCACCAGTTAAATGACAACTGACTTGGGTTCATTTGTATTCAGCAAGTCTGTAGACTAAATCACTGTAAAAAATGGCTCTAGCATTTTAATTTCACTCTTTTAAAATATATATTTAATGGCTATAACATGATAGCTGTGAAATAAACCCTTCTGTTAGATATTGTAACCGTGAAATATAGCTGTTTAACTAGTTGGCGATGAAATTTTTGCTGCGTTCAATCACTCAATGACTGAAATATTAAATAGGAAGGGGCAAGTGTGTGGAAAAAGTCTTTCCTACCTGGCAATAGCCAGATTACAACCAGCAAGGTCAACTGCAAAATGACTGTCGTCTCTAATGTGGCAATTACTGTCCTCCCAAATGGGCTGCTGCTGACTCAAAGCCAACAGTTTCTTTAATTTTTCCTTCCTCGTCTACAAGTTACTTTGGGAAACTTCATGATCAGCACTATTCTTTTTATGCTCTTAGGTGCTGACAGCAGAAAGGATTTTTGCCAAATGCTCAAGCCAAGCTTTGGGGAGCAGTGCCCTTCTCCCTAAAACCCAGGGACTGGGCTACGTTTCTGGGCTCTTGACAGAAGGATGAAATAAAATTTCTACCTATGAAATGTTGATTCTCACTTTCCCCCTCACTTCAGAACTCAAGTTCTTCATTCAGAGCAGCCATGTGCTTGGTTAAAAAAAAACCTCCTCAGACTCCCTTGCAGCTAAATTGGCCATGTGACACAGTGAGATGGAAGCAGAGGTCTAGGGAGCAGGCTCTGGGGAAGGCAGGAAAGTATTGTTTTCCTGACAAAAAGGGGCAGACTTAGGTGACAGCTGCCTTCCATCTTTTTGTCATTTGACCTTCCTCTTATTTTCCTGTCTGAGTTGTGGACTCACTGTCTGGAGCTGGAGTCACCCCACACTAAGGATGGCAAAACAGAACACTGAAAAGGCAGCTGCTGGTGACTCCCTTGAGGAGCTGTTCCAGCCTGGGATGGCCAACTGCTAGGTTTCATTGTTACTTAAATATAAATCCCTATTTGGTTAAGACACTATGGTCACTTTATTCAGCCTTTTATAAAATTCAGTCTGATGATTCTAACTGATACATAGGTAATAGCTAGAGGGAAAGCTACTTAGTCTGAGTGACTTACATTTTTCTCTTCATGGGAATTTAGCTTTATGGAGTTGACATTAGTTCCCATTTTACTTTGGCTGCCAGGGAACTCAGAGTCAAATGTGGTGCCCAAATATCTACCATATAATCCTAGAAATATACACAATATTATGTCTATGTTATATGTGTTCTCAGACTCAGCCTCTTCTCCTTCTAAAGTACTTATAAAACTGGTTATAACTTTCTATTTGATTTATACTGTATTATTTTATTGTGTACATTTTCCATGCTTTAAATTTTTGTGGAATGAAACAAGGTATACATTTGTGTGTATGCACATATATGTATACATATATACAAAGTGTCTATATGTTAAGTGGTTTCTATGTGCTCACTCATTGCACTGAGCACTCGTTAATGAATCATGAATCCCCCACCATGGTCTTCTATCCTTGGTACATTATGCTCCCATTTTACAGACAAAGAAACTGAGACTTAGAAAGACTAAGCTGCTTAGCCAAGGTTATATCCACGTGGGTAGATCAGGTTTTTAAACCCTTCAGACCCAAATTGGCTGAAGTGTTTTCTGTTATTCTTTGAAACAAATTAAAAATTTAACAATTTTTTACCTATTGCTACCCTAAAAGAAGTTGGGATCAGGTTTTTCTCTGATTATGTCTCTCATTGCGAGTCTACATCTGTGATTTCCCCTTAACATTCTTTTTGTCAATAAATTGTAGAAATTAGAAATGGGAAAGGCTTGTCAGCCATGAAATATACATGTTTAAGAGCAAAGGAGAGAAGTGCTTGGCCGACAAGGCTAAGACCTCACACTTGGTGAGGCTAAGACCTCACACTGGTGACCCAAATGTTTCTTGAAGATGATAGAAGAGTGACAAATCCCACAGGTTCTGTAAGTGACATCAGAAGAGCAAGGGCTGAGGGAGAGCGTGAAGCTGGAAAGGGAACGTTTTCAAGAGATGAAGATGAGTAAATGATGCATTCCCGGACTCTTCTCATTTCATAGGCTGGAGGGGCTAAAGGAATCGGATTGGGAGCCAACAAGAATTTGTGTATAGAGGTTTCTAGTACAATATAGTTACTTCAACAAATATTTATTGAGTGCCTCCTATGCTCCAGATCCTGTTCTAGGCACTAGGGATACATCAGTGACTAAAATAGACAAAAATCCCACCTCCATGAAGCTTATATTCTAGCAAGGGGAGAAAAATAACATAGATAAGAGAATACGTTCTGTAGTACTTTAGAAAATAGATGTTAAGGAAGAAAGAAAAAGTAGAGTGGGAATTACTGCTTAGTAGACATTCACAAGGTTCCAGCGTGCTCAGCAGTTTACATGCATTATTTCATTCAATCTTCGCAAGAATGTTAGGGGATTCCCATTTCACAGATGAAGAAACTGAGGTTGAGTAAAGTGAAGTGATTTGTCAAAGGTCATGCTTCAGAAATCGCAGAAGCAGGATCTGAACTCCTCAGACCGTTGACCACACCCATGTGGCATGAGAAAGGCATCAGGGGCCACCATCTTCCTTACCCATCTCCCATCCTTGTCTAAAGGTGGGTTGAAGCGTCGTCCTTTAGTCATTCTCTTCAGGAAGCTGAATGTGGCTGAGATTGGCTGCCTCACCTCTCTATACGCTCTACACGTCTGGGAAGCTGCTTCATAAACTTCATAAGTTCTACACGTCTGGGAAGTTGTTCCTCCTCCTCGTTCCTGATCTTTACTTCTCAGCCTCTACCAGGAGGGGAAGGTGCGGGTGCCCATTGTTGCCATGGAATGGGAACTCACCCATCACAATGGGCGAAGGAGTCTTCTAAGCCCTCTGAGGATTCCTGCCACTGGTTTCTTGCAGCTGTGACTCCCCAGGGTAAGAGGCAAAGAGCCACCAGGTCCCAGCTGAGGAAGCCCTGTGGTCAGCTCAGACAGGTGAGGACAAGATGATTTGGGGGTAATGGCAAACATTTTGTACCCTCTCAATTTTTGAATGAATAATGTTTGAGTTGGATGTCCCCATGGCAACTGTATGCTCCAACCTGTTAGTTTTCAGAGAAGTAAGTTGAGTCCCAGGCTGGGGGTGGCCTTGTCTGCATCAGTGGCACTGCTGCACCCAGAACCCATGCTGCCTACCATCTCCTTCTGTGGCAGCCTCTGTGTCTCAGCTCAGACCCAACCTCAGGACTCATTCACAGCCACTCTTACCTGCCTGGCACAGCATTGAGGCCACAAGGAAGTAACACTCATGAATAGTTATTATATGCCAAGTGCTGTGTTAAACTAAACATTCACCTGTTTTTATTTTTTCTCCATGACAACATTCAACATTTACAAATAGGAAACAAGGGTCATACAGCAATGGATGGGATGTCACAAGTCCCAGCAAGGTCATGGGCCAACTCCAGAGCTCATGAGACTTGCCAAGGGCCACCTGGCCTCCCCAGGGCTGCAAAGGCTGCTCCTGAGATCTGGCATTTCTCTCAGGGCCTGGACACACTTCCTGCCTCCCTTCTACTCAGTAAGGTGTTTTCTGCTTTTCTTTCTTTTTCTTTTTTTAAATGTTGTGTCTTGCCAATTCTCTTGGCTATTCCATGTGAATACAAGAGTAAACATGTACAGGACAACCTGTCCAGCTGCTCTCTCACTCAGAAATTGTGTCCTCCATCCCTTCCTCCCCCAGTTACCTCCCTGGGTTTTCCAACGAGAGTTGCCGTAGTAGTGATACAGGACCTTATCCACTGCCAGCACTGAAGGACCAGAGGTGGCCCCTAGATGTGACGCCAGAGATGCATAGGTCCTCTTGCACTGTGACGCCAAAAGCCACATGGTAAGGAGAGGAGGAAAAGATGGCGGGCCGCCTCTTTCGGTGTTGCAAAGCTGCCGCACCAGGCGATCTGTCACGTGCGTAGTAAACCCTTCTGGGATTTCTGCTACCTGTTGACAAGCCCGGTGCAACAGACACAGTGTATTTCACCTTTACCAGGCATTGCCCACTGCTCTCCAAAGCCCAGGTGTAAAGAAATACTCCCAGCAGCAGCAGTACAAGGGAGTCCTGTCATCTCACAGCCTTGCCAAGACACACTATATTGATTACAATCAAATTTGACTGGGACAGGAAACCCGAACTAACAGGGGCTTAAACACGATAGACATTTATTCTCTCTGCATAAAAGAAGTCCAGAGGGAAGTAGTCCAGGCGCGCTATGGTGGCTCTGCTGTTCAGGATTCTCAGAGATGAGGCTCCCTCCCACCTACCACCGCTCACCAGCCCTAGGGGACAGCTGTCATCTTGTGGCCCCAGATGGCATCTGCATTCCAGGTAGCAGAATGCAGGAACGGAAGTAGAGAGGAAAGGGCGTGTCCCCATGGATCATATTGGGCCAACCCCAGTTGACTCAGCTGCTTCCTCCTAAGGAGGGTTCCTGGCAGCTGCCATACGACACTTCCTCTTGTGGGCCAAGACTTCAACCACATGGTCAGGCCTCATTGTAAAGGGGGCTGCATAGTAGGCTTTGTCCTGGTGGGATGATTGCCCAGCCTAAAGTTTAATTACCATGGAAGAGACAGAGAAGCAAAATCAAAGTACAGCCCGAAGGCACTGCCACCCCAGTGGGTGTTCTCTTGTCTTTAATTTGAACATTTAATTCCCCAAATTCTAACAAGAATAAGGCTAACTTCATTCCAATTAGCCTGGCCGGGGCAGGGGAGGGGTGCCGAAGAGGATGCATAGTGCTGTCTACTTTCCGGCGCTGTGCTCACATAGCACCTTACAAATACTCTGCAAACTCTAATGTGCTTTGCAAAACTAAGGAAGAACACATGAAAGGCACTTCAATGTTTACTAAGTACTTTTATATTCATTGTTTTATACAACTTTCACAACAACCCTAAGACATGTGCTGGCTATCTTTCTTTTGTGTGTACCCCTCTCCCATTCATTCCCCATCCATTCCTTGTTCTGCAGCCTGGAGTCTAAGCTGTAAAGGCTGTATCCCCTATTCCCCTATGCTTTGGTTCTTTTGCTTTTTAATTTATTATTATTATTTTTTGAGACAGAGTTTCACTCTTGTTGCCCAGGTTGGAGTGCAGTGACACGGTCTCGGCTCACTGCAACCTCTGCCTCCTGGGTTCAAGCGATTCTCCTGCCTCAGTCTCCTAGGTGGCTGGGATTACAGGTGCCAACCAACCACACCTGGCTAATTTTTGTATTTTTAGTAGAGACAGGGTTTCACTATGTTGGCCAGGCTGGTCTCGAACTCCTGACCTCAGCTGATCTGCCCCCACCTCGGTCTCCCAAAGTGCTGGGATTACAGGCGTGAGCCACCGCATCCAGCCCATGCTTTGGCTCTGGTTGGATTCATCCCATAGGAAATAGCAGTGGGAATCAGAAGGGCAGGAGGAGATAGGCAGTGGTGTGCTCATAAATGGTTCACAACCAGCTCTCCAGAGGAAAAGCAGCCTGATTTGTAGTGGCATCGGCCAATTTCCGTGCATAAATACTTCCACCATGGTGGATTTCAAGCTACTGACATCACTGAACATGGAGTTGGGAAGAGATGTATATAACACATTCTGATACATCACAGGTTCAAAGTATTGGCCCCCCAGGCTCTATCCCTATCAGGCCAGAATTTGGAAGGAACCGTGTTTGTCTACTTATATGTCCATGGCTCCTGCCGGGCAGCCCCTTCCCCACAGCCACAGTTCTCCCTGTTCACAGTGCCCTCTCCCTAACACTTTGGCCCAGGGATAGACAGGCTTCCTGCTCTTGCTGGTCCCGGAAGCTGCACCATTTCTTGTCAGTTCCTGTAACCCTGGCCACATCTCTGAGAGGAGACCCTTCATTAAGGTCTCTTCTGTCTTGGAGTGTGTCACTGGTTTCACTGCAGGGATGCAGACTGAAACTGAAGCAGGTGTTAGTAACTGTCTTACCTACAGACGAGGAAACTGAGCCTCCATGAAGTGAGGTGACTCACCCACAGTCACACAGCTAATATATGGCAGAGCCCACAGCAGAACCCAGATGTACAGAGGCCAGCATAAAACAGGTTTTGTTTTAATGCACTTGCTTGACGCTGTTAAATTATTGAGCAGTGATTTTATAAGAGGATTCCTTTTAATTCCCTTTCCTTAACCTGCACAAAACAGGGCCTACTGAAATGCCTAGCGCTTCAACAAGGTGAGCTCTTGTAGGCCAGGGGCCAAATGACGGACATCATGTGCCACCAACACCACACAGATGAAGGTGGTGGGCCAGGGCAGAGTTCTGGTTCTCCTGCACCCTAAGATGAAAGCTAAAGTCAGAAAGGAGGGAGGAAGACAATGACGACATTTAAAACCTAAAAACAGTGGCCATTTCCAACTCAGTATTTCACATGCATTCACTTTGTCTCCACCGATGGAGCAGAAAATCTCTTAGAACTGAAACTTGATTTTCAAATATATTTTGCCTCTCCTCTGTACTTAGTCCCATGCTCTGTTAAACAAGCTATATGACCGCTGGTTAAGGTATGTTCCAATTTTCTTCTTTTGAATGATTGTTTAAAATTCTAACAAATTTGTCCAAGAAAATCAAAACTGAACAAAGACACCTGGCCAGGAAAAAAATGAAATGCTACTTCTCTTCAGCTAGGATTTCTTAGCCACAGGTTGGAGCAGGGATGCTCATGGTGGTTGTTATTATTTTCAGAGGTTTAAATTACTGAGCTGTACTTTGTGACCCACCATTCTGAAAATAAGTCCTGTAGCACTAAGGGTACTCAGACCACCAGGGCCGAGAACGCCCGAGGGTCAAGTTCGGTCCTGCCACAGGCTTGCACGTAGGGGTCCAAACCGCCAGCTAGGGACTGTCTGCAAAGACAACACCGAGCCAATCATTTATTCAACAAATATCACTGCACATGTACCATGTGTCACCGCTGTTTTTAGACAGCACTAGGGCAATCACCAAACATCAGTTCTTTATAAATAGCAAATCATGAATTTAGCAATACATTCAATGACCAGTACCTCAAAACTATTGATTAACCAAAAATTGTTTTCATTGGACTACCTACAACACTTACAGCAAATTGTTGTGTCCAGTGTATTTTTCGACATGACAATTTTTGTGTACTTTGAATTTTAAGTCTTTTTTCATAAAGGTAGTGCAGGGTAAACGCGCCCATGTCTTCCGCGCATTTCCAGAGCAGCATGTCACTCCTCGTTTTAATGAACGATTTGCTGTCTTTTGCGGGAGAGGAAGTGGTAGAATTAGGCGGACTTTGCAGGAACGTTCTCACGTGTGTGTCTGCACACGCCTACCCACAAGTCCACCCACACACACCCACAAGTCCACCCACACACACTCAGCTCCCACATATGCAGGCATGTGACAGTTTGTCAGTCTACCAAATGAAAGATTCATTTTCATGTTTACGTCCGCAAATCCTGCACAATTAAACACGCATATGGGGAAGGCCAATCCATTTGTACATAAAATGTTGACCACCTGAGAAATACTTAGGTATCTTAACTGTAAAGCACATTTTGGGTTCACCTTGTAAGGCTGAATCTGGATTCTTTCTGCAAATAACAACCAAATTGAAGTGACTCAGCTGCAATTATTTATGATGATACATGATTCATACGGTGCTAGTAGAAATTGTCATGAATACACAGCACATTTGTATGCTGCCACCTTGAAAAGTATTCAGGCATCTATAACATAAAGCACATTTTTTGTTACCCTATGTTGCAA